AATGGGATTGATTTTAAGTTATCTGAAGAAACAATCTTCTAACCAGGTATCCTGTGGGTCCGCTTTAAGTGTAGGTGCTGAATATGTGGTCATGAGTGTATCTGCAGAGCTGAGCATGGGTAAGGCAGCAACTCACATGTATTGAGCATGTACAGTATCAAGCTCATAACACTGTCTTATTTAATCCTCACAACCACCCTATGAGGTGGATATTATTATACCCATTTCCATAGACAAGGACATTGAGTCTCAGGAAAGGCAGCGACTTTTCAAAGATGAATGAATAGAAGAGGCAAGATTCAAGTTTGGGTCTCTCAAGTTCATGAAAATTCTACCACAGTGTCACAGTTCCTCAAGGGACACAATGAGAGGAGCATACTTGTTACCAGACCCGCTGAAATCGGAATAAAATGTCCTTGTAGATGCCAGCAGCCTCCATTCACTTCATTTGCTCAATCCTCCCTTTACAAATTCAGGCATTCAAGCATTTAAGTATTTGCTTGATAAAAATTAATTAAAGACTTAAAAAGACACCTGAGACCACTGAGGAGGGGAAAAAATGGAGACGGAAGAGGGAAGGGACATAAAGATATATATGACTCAGGACCTGTCTTCAAGGAACTTAGGAAAGCGAAGTCATATATACACATAACAAGAAAACAGTGGAGAATGTGTTGGGTCACAAGAGAAATACAAGTTAAGATTAATTGCTGCCATTAATTCCTATGTTGCAAAATACAGGAAGGATGTCGATGGGTAGAGATGTAAGAGGAGGGCTTTCCAAAACAGGTAGTCATAATTTGAAGGGATGTTTGCTCCAAAAACCATGTCAGAGCATCTCTTCTCAGATGGACCAAGCTGAAGGGGCAATAGAGCCCTTTGCTCTTAACAGGGACCCATGGTCCAATAAAACATATGCGACATATGGTTGAAATGTCTTCTTCATGTCCCAAATAAAACCTATCATACATATTTTAATACTTCTCTAGATTATAGAGACTTATTTTCTCTATAATTTAAAAAAAAAAAATTTCAGTTGTA